GGTCGAGTATGCTTAGAAAGTGATATTCGGGCTATACTCGACCGATCTTCGTTTGCAATTTAAAGGCATACCCGATCGAGTATATATGAATACCCGGTCGAGTATGCTTAGAAAGTGGTATTCGGGCTATACTCGACCGATCTTCGTTTGCAATTTAAAGGCATACCCGATCGGGTATGTCGGTCTACCCGATCGGGTATAGACATAGAATCGTGGCCAAAATCTTCCCTGCATGTTCCTTTGTCTTCGGATCTGATCTGATTTGAAGTTCCAACCTAATACCCGATCGAGTATAGCTAATACTCGACCGAGTATAGACCAAAATTCAGGATCTTCTTTTGTCTTTGAACTTTTGTACCTTCTCTTCACTTTTTGGGTTCACCAACTGTACTTTGGGTGACCAAAACCTGCTTAAGCTCAGAAAATGTCTAATCTAACCTATTTACAAGAATTTAACAATCTAATCTATTACACCAAAAGTGTGTAATTTCCAAAGTAAAAGTCAAGCAAAACTAATTAAAAACATAAACATAGAAATGGAAATTACGAACGTATCACGTAGCTATGGAAAATACTAGCGAGGGATCCGGAGAAGAACCCGAACCCAGACGTAGCAAACGTGCTAGAGTCGAAAAATACTTCGGACCGGATTTTCTCACCTACCTGGTAAAATTTGAATCGGATATTCTAACATGTATGGTAGAAAATGAACCGGATTTTCTAACATGTTTGGTAGAAAATGAGCCACGGACTTATACGGAAGCCGTGACGTCTACTGAAGGTCCTATGTGGAAAGAAGCCATCAAAAGTGAGGTGGATTCTATCCTTAAAAATCACACATGGGAATTGGTTGATCTTCCTCCGGGAAATAAACCTTTGGGATCCAAGTGGATTTTTAAACGGAAAATGAAACTGGACGGTTCCATCGATAAGTACAAGGCCAGACTTGTAATCAAAGGATACAAGCAACTTGAGGGCCATGATTACTTTGACACATATTCTCTTGTGACGAGAATAAATTCCATTAGGATGATACTAGCAATTGCCGCATTGCGGAAATTGGAAGTTCATCAAATGGACGTAAAAACCGCTTTTCTAAATGGCGATATAGACGAAGAAATCTATATGGAACAGCCCGAGGGCTTTCGTGTTCCAGGCCAAGAAAGGAAAGTGTGTAAATTAATTAAATCATTGTATGGATTGAAACAAGCCCCTAAACAGTGGCACGAAAAGTTCGATCATGCAATGTTAATTAATGGGTTTAAAATAAACGAAAGTGACAAATGCGTCTATGTGAAGAGCACGGTAGACGGCTATGTCATTTTATGTTTATACGTGGATGATATACTCATCGTGGGTAGCAATAATCTAATGATTAATTCTACCAAAAGCATGTTAAATTCTAAATTTGACATGAAGGATATGGGGCTGGCCGATTTAATCCTTGGGATTAAAATAATTAGAGGACCTGACGGTCTAACGCTAAGCCAATCCCATTACGTTGATAAAATCCTTACTAAATTTAATAAGGATGATTATCAAGAGGCAAGGACGCCTTTAGATAAAAACACTCATCTTACCAAAAATCGTGGAGACTGTATTTCTCAAGTAGAATACGCTAGGATTATTGGAAGTTTGATGTATCTAATGAGTTGTACCAGGCCTGATATTGCCTTTGTGGTTAGTAAGCTAAGTAGATATACTAGCAACCCCGGTGATGAACACTGGAAGGCAATAATACGGGTTTTGAGGTATTTACGTAAAACCCAAAACCTTGGACTGCACTATGGAAGATATCCAGCTGTACTTGAAGGGTATAGCGACGCTAGTTGGATATCCGACATAAAGGACTCTAAGTCCACAAGTGGATATGTTTTCACTTTGGGAGGTGCAGCCGTGTCATGGAAATCCTCGAAACAAACGTTAATAGCTAGATCCACGATGGAATCTGAGCTAATAGCATTGGATAAGTGCACTGAAGAGGCTGAATGGCTACGCCATTTTCTCGAGGATATTCCAAGTTGGGAGAAGCCTGTCCCTCCAATATGCATACATTGCGATTGTCAAGCGGCAATTGGGAGGGCACAGAGCAATCTCTACAATGGTAAGTCTAGACACGTTCGTCGTAGACATAACACCATTAAACAACTCCTCACAACGGGTGTTATCACTGTTGACTACGTGAAATCAAAGGATAACCTAGCGGATCCGCTAACCAAGGCATTGGATAGAGAATTGTTGGAGAAGTTGTCACGAGGAATGGGTCTAAAGCCCGTGAATTGAAAAGTTCTATAGTGGATACCCAACCTAGTTGGTCCTAGGTTCAAAAGGGACAACTAAATTATAGAGCGAAGGATGGTCACTGTGGGGGTCCCGGACTCCTACCCACTCCTCGTTAAAAACAGTGACTCCCGCACGAGGTTAGCAAAAACGTTTGCTTTAATGATTCTAAAATGTTGATCTACTCGATAACATTGGAAGAGTATGCGGGATACTCGTGAAAGAATCACCTATGTGAGAGAGAAGAGGGCCGCTTCGAAAGAGAACTGTAAAGGCTCAGTTCTTTAGAAACTCTTGCAGAACCAGGACGGTGACCCATGGCCAAAACGGGCACACCCATGAGAACGGAACAAAGTTGGAAGGTTCTTGTGTAAAGATAAGTCAATGTTTACACGACGGCAGTATAGTTCAAGGACATCGAGTCTACTAGACAGCCAGTAAATAAACGTGTCTTTACAACGGAAGGTTCAAAGGATAAAACCTACCTCTCCGTATGCAAGGATCATCCGGTGAACACAATGTGTCCTCCTATCTTCGTGTCTTTTTAAGTCTCGAAAATCAATTTTCATTCATGTGGGGGATTGTTGGAAAAATGTGTTAAAAATTGCATTAAATGGTCATTTTGGGGCAATTATTTGAGTGGGGTCCACTTCCGATTTGGGTCGGGTCAAAGTGGTTTCGGATTGTCCTTGTTAAGGGCTACAATTCGATATATGGTACGCTCAAAACGGATAACGGGTGAATGAGAAATTGATTCTCGAAGTTCGCTCGTTGTAATGGAAAAACTGGGAAAATGATGAGTTTCTAGTGTGTTTTATCCCACACTGAAAAACTCAAGGGATTTTCACCCCCTTTTAAAGGGAAGCCTCTTTTAAGGAGTTAAGATTCCTAAAGGGAAAGGCTCTCTCTTACGCGCAGGGGGGGTGTCGATCAAATCTCCGAAACGGAGAAGAAAAATCGCGACTCGTGTGCGCGGGCGACCTGCGGACACGAATGCCGTCCAAAAATCTATTTCTCAATAGATACGGTTAATTTTTGTTTTCTTCTCGAACGTTTTTTTTTTCAGAAGAGCTCCGGACAGAAGGCCTCGAACAGAAACCCTCCAAGGGAGTTTTGTTGGCTTCGGACAGAAGGCCTCGAACAGAAACCCTCCAAGGGGGTTCTGTTGGCTTCGGACAGAAGGCCTCGAACAGAAACCCTCCAAGGGGAGTTCTGTTGGCCACGGACAGAACCCCTCCGAGGGGTGTTCTGTTGGCTTCGGACAGAACCCCTCCAAGGGGTGTTCTGTTGGGGTCTTCTGTCACGCATTTCTTCCGTTACAACTATTAATGCCCAACGTTCTTCTCTTTTAATGCAGCGTTAAATGGACAGTTTATGGACGGTTCAATGCCCAACGGACTGGTCATTGATGTCCAACGTTCAGGTCCATTAACACCCCATTTAACTCATAACAAATCCTCCTATAAATAGCTGGCAGGTGCTTTGCAACAGACACACGGTTTGACAACGCACATCACTTTCCTCACGTTTTCTTGAGCTAAAAACTTTTCCAGCTACTCCCAAAATCCTTCTGTGTTCATACTTGGTTCTCGTTCGCTGGAACTCTTGTTTGTGTGCTCAAACATTAGTTCGTAGTCATCGTATCCTGGGAAACGATTGTTGCAACGCTCCTAGCACCGTGGGAGGCAACAAATACGTTTTAAGGAAATCGTGCGTAGCACGAGCTTTGGCTAATTCTGCTTCATCTCCTTTCTTGTTTTCCTCTAGTCATTTTATTTAATTAATTTATTTTAATTAATTTTCTTTATTTTCCGAAACACACCCAACAGGGAAGAGAGAGAGGGCGATGCAAACAAACATGTACTATTAGAGTGATCACGATTGATATAGTGCTTTTTTAGTTGGATGAGAGTATGACTTTGGGGATAGCGAAGTGGAGGAAGAATAATCAGGCAAAGCATATATTGATCTCTTTGTATCTTTTTTAATTCTGATTTCATATGTTGATTTATGTTAGTCGGCCTCAAACGCTTTTGGATTAAGGCTTGATTGTTGTGATAAAATGGGTACATTTAATGAGAAAATGTCTTAATACTTAAGAATTTCTTATACAACTGAATATATAACTAAGGCAAATTGGAAAAGAGTCCTATATTTGGTACATGATTCTTGAATTTGAACGGTAGCATGTCTTTAGTCAAAGGATCATCCATCATCAACTATGTACTAACAAAAATGATGTTTGTACACACTCTTATACACATTTTTGTACACACCTATGTCTGTGAAAGCTTTTTATTTTGTCTGTGAACATTGATTCACAGACAATGTTTTGCACAAACAAAATATTGTCTGTGAACCGGATTCACAGACAAAAAAAAAGCTTCACAAACATGGTGTGTATAAGGTGTGTACAAGGGTGTGTACATCAAGAATGGTTGATGTACTAATGTGCTCGATGATCACGTTCTATTACTTGAAAATTTTTATAAAAAGTCAAAAAAATTAATACTCCCTCCGTCCCTCAATACTTTGACAAGTTTGACCGGCACGAGGATTAATAAAGTAAAAACTGTGTGGTTGAGATTTGTGCAGAGGAGAGAGAATTAACTGGAACCACAAATTCTTTACTTAAATGGGAAAGTGGCAAAGTTAATGGGACATCAAAAAAAATAAAGTTATAAGGGAGGGAAGGAGTATATTTTTTGTAAAAAAAATGAAAAAGAAATGAAAAAAATACTAAGCTTCAACAAAGAAAGGATTTTTAATATAGTGAGACAATCCTTTCCCTTAGACCGTAAGGAAACTGAGACTCTGTAGTTGTAGTCTCAGTCTTGTCTTCTTGTTGGAACCTTTACAAATTCTCATCATCATTTCGCAGTAAACGTAAGTTTGAATAGCCTTACCAATTCCCTGCAACCACGAGCTGACCGAGGCTAGATTTCGGATGGATTCCTTCTTTAACAGAGGCTTCAAAGCTTCCAAATGGTAACCAATTTTCTTTTGTCTTCTTTTATAGCTAGGGTTTCTCTTAGATAAAATAATTTGTGCACTGTGATGAATTAGTTATGTTATGTTTCTTGAATAGTTAGGGAGATCGTCGTACTAGGTTTAAAAAAAAGGTTGAAATATAGTGATGATCGCAGATCAATTCCCTTTTTGTGGTATGAGAATTTCAAATTTAGATTTTCTTCAACTGTTTTGGATGATTTGAAGGCTCTAAAACTTCGCTACTTTAAATTATGTCCTGAATTGTATGTGTGGATGATCACATTTTTCAAATTTGATTTGCAGTAAAACTTTGCTGAAGCTGACAATTCCTAGGATAAAGCTGTTGAGAAACCGTAGAGAGGTTCAACTGAAACAGATGAGGAAAGAAATCGCCAAGCTTCTGGAAACTGGTCAGGAAGCCACAGCTCGGATTCGGGTATAATTTAATCTCAATGCTTATACATTTACTTTCAATTTACATGCAGTTCATCTAACCATCACATTTGGAGACACTTAAGTGATAGTTAACATTTAAGTTGATTGGCTTTCCATTGTGAAATTAGGTGGAGCATATTATTAGAGAAGAGAAAATGGTTGCTGCACAGGAGATAATTGAGCTATTTTGTGAACTCATAGCTGTTCGTCTTCCTATAATTGAGGCACAAAGGTAAAGACTTGGTGATTTTGTTTTCCGATATATATTAAAAGTGTATTCTTTGGTCATTCTTTCTAATTTCTACTTCTGCACGATTGCTGTTGTGATCTATGAAGCATGCAATTAGCTACAGCCTACAGTTTGTTTAATTTTAGTCGAAACTCGGTGATGTAATAATAATTACCGAATGTCGGAATGTGTAACATAATGTGATTTTGCATCCCAATGTGGAATGGTTTGCCTAACATGCATCCTAATGTGATTTTGCCTATCAAGACTATTTTTATTAACAGCCTCATATGCACAATATATTTGATTTTCCAATGACTTCTGTATTGGCAGGGAGTGTCCTCTGGATCTGAAAGAATCCATTTCTAGTATATGTTTCGCTGCACCAAGATGTGCAGATCTCCCAGAACTGCTACAGGTTCAAATGGCATTTGCTGGTAAATATGGAAAAGAATTTGTTGCTGCTGCCACGGAGTTAAGGCCCGAATGTGGTGTCAATCGACAGGTCATACAATCTATTTACTACCTATGATTGATATATATGAGACTCTATTTAGGAGTTGAGATTGAGGGAAGGGGGTTGAAAGGTGGGCTCCCTTCACTACTTGAATTGGCACACTTTAACCTTTTATAGTTTTTTTTTTAAATCAAGTGAATGGTAAAGGATAAATATGTCTTTACACCAATCCTCATTTTTGTAGCTCCTACTTCTTTTCTTCCTCTTTCCATCCAAACAACTTTGAACTCCACCATCTGTAACCTTTTCTCTTATTTCTTCTTTCTTTCCTATAATCTTCATCCCACCTTTTGTTCTTTTTACTACATTTGCAGTTGATAGACCAGCTATCTATTCGTGCTCCTGCTCCTGAATTGAAACTGAAGATTCTGAAAGAAATTGCTGAGGAGCATGGACTAGAGTGGGACCCAAGTGGGACAGAATCTGAATTGTTGAAGCCGCATGAAGACTTGCTTGTATGTCACTATAGTACTATGGTTTACTTTAACCTGCATTCTGGTACAATGCATCTTACATCCGTAACTACTAGTGGTTGACAAAGTTACTTCTACAAATTCATTTTCGACTTAGATTTTAGACCTGTTACTTTCAGTGTCAGAGAATTTACTTGAAGTCATCGAAAGTTAAAAAGTCCACTGGGAAGTACCATTCAAATATGGGATCTGTTGAATTGGTTTTAACATGAAATTTTCATCAAGTTTATGCCAAAAGTGCATTTAGGAAAAGTTTCCAATTGTCTGTTATTTGGTTAATCTTAAAAATGCATGTCATTTTTTTAATTTAATAAAATTACCATATTGTCACCAACAATGCACTAGACCACCAATTTTAAAAGGTGCTGCTAGGTGATTTTTTAAATTTCCAATGGCTTCATAACTAAATTCATGAGTTTTAAGAGTAATGGGTCCAACACGATTAATTTTGCATACCTTATAGTTGAGGAACCAAAAATGCGTTTTACCCACACCTTTCTCCAATGATAATTTGTGTCAGAAACCTAGCTAATTGTCATCTTGTGCATGATTTTTGTAGCATGGACCAACCCAATTTATGAGCGGGTCTAAGCTGCCTCTTCCTGAAGAGAAACATAGTGATGAACCACTAATGCAATCCGCTTCTGGATTCGTGGACAAACGCTCTGATTCTGATATTGATGATGATGATTATGACATATTAGATTTACCAGAAGTCCCTAGACAACAGCCAAACACAACAGCTTCCATCTCAACCCCAGAAATGCTTCCCTTTCCTGCCTCTGCATTATCTGATTTCGACCGCAGAGCAGAAAATTTGCCTTCACCACCAGACATGGAGGAGCGTGAGGAAGTCTTCCCACCACAAAGGTCTGCTGCTGCCAAGGAGAGCATATCATCTAATTTCTCACACATTCTCAAGGAAGATAAGCCATCAATGGCTCCTCCCCATTCTACATATTTAAAACAAAGTGAAACATCCAATATAGATTTAGAGGATGTGTTGGCTGCAGCTCAGGCAGCAGCTGAAACGGCTGAACGTGCGGCGGCAGCTGCTCGGTCAGTGGCTAGTCTTGCGCAGCTCAGAATTAGTGAGTTTTCGAAGAAAAAGAGTGACGATTGCTTTGAACAGCCTCATTCGGAACATGAAAGCCCCTTGGAGACCCATGAATGGCAAGAAAAACTTGGCTCTCCTCCATCTAATAACAACAATCAACCTCAGAGATTGCCATCAATGGAAGATGAGACATACTTCTCTTACCCGAACCTGTTTAATTCCAAAACCCCTCATGGACAGTGAGCCAACCCACATAGCCACCACCAACCTTCTCCCCCCCCCCCCCCCCCCCCCCCCCCCCCGGGCATTGGGTCTTTGTCTTACCATGATGACCCCTAGTGTGTATTTGGCAACTATAGTACAATGTGATTTGATTTTCCAAATGAGCTGTGTTCATGTAAAAGTGCCTCGCTTGTTTACAGTTAGCTTTTTTTTCCTCCTACCGATATGCAAATAAGATATTTTCTATTCAACACTAAGCTTAACGCAAGCTTTGTGTTTTCATGTTTTAACTTTGAAGTTCAGCCTGATGTGAAAGAGCAAATTACTCTTGGCTCCCCTTCCCCCCAAAGGATAGATCATTTTCTTTAGTATCCTCGAGTTGATGTATTTTTCTGTGATCATTCTTATTATTCATAGAAAAGAATACTCATGCATACAACATTTACTAGGAACCGGACCGAGCCAGAAATGGATGGAGAAAAGGATTAAGCTGGATGGACCAAAATTTGTTCAAACTTGTTTCATTTTGAGTTCCTCTAAAATATAGTGGTGGGATCCGGAGGGATGGATTCGGTTCAGGCCACCCGGCCCGTGACCCGGCCCGGCCCGGTACTGTGCGGGCCCGGGACCGGCCCGGTCGGGCGGTCCGGGACCGGGTCTGGGCCCGAACCGGGGGGAAGGGGCGGGGCGGGCTCGGTTCAGCAATTTTGTGACCCGGCCCGGGTCCGGTTCGATCAATTTAAAAAAAAAAAGTTTTTTTTTGGGTTGGGCTCCTACTAGCCGTTGGGGGTGGGGCTGGGGACAACCCAAACGGCTATATAGCCGTTGGGTGGGTTATAGGGGGGGTCCGGGGGGGTTGGGTGGTGGGGGTGATGGGGGCGTAAAAAAACCTATAAATACTCCTAATCTTAAACATTTTTTCATATCTCTTCTCCAATTCTTCCTAAATCCTATTCTTAACTCTCTACTCTCTAATTCTCTTATTCTCCATTCTCCAATATATTATATTTATTATTTATAGTTTATATTAATTATCTACTTATATAAACTATAAATAGATATAAATAGTATTATATTACTTATATTTGTTATCTAATTATGTATTACTTATATATTTATTATATCTATTAATATAGTTGGAATTATATCTAATTAATTTGAAGTCATTCTATTACTCCCATCCGAAAGACCGAAAGTCCGAAAGAGGTACGAAATTATTCTATTATTTACACTTGTTTAATTACTAGTTAATTAGTATAGTTGGAATTACGATTTTTTATTAATATAGTTGGAATTACATTTTTTTATTAATTGCTACATTTGACTCTAGTTTATAAAATATGTTGTACACAAAACTAGTTAATTCACTACTTAATTTGCTATAACTCGAATTAATAGTTAGATAAATAGTTAATTAGTTTTTTACAATTTTTTATTAATTGCTACATTTGACTCTAGTTTAAAAAATATGTTGTACACAAAACTAGTTAATTCACTACTTAATTTGCTATAACTCGAATTAATAGTTACATAAATAGTTAATTAGTTTTTTACAATTTTTTATTAATTGCTACATTTGACTCTAGTTTATAAAATATGTTGTACACAAAACTAGTAAATTCACTACTTAATTTGCTATAACTCGAATTAATAGTTAGATAAATAGTTAATTAGTTTTTTACAATTTTTTATTAATTGCTACATTTGACTCTAGTTTATAAAATATGTTGTACACAAAACTAGTAAATTCACTACTTAATTTGCTATAACTCGAATTAATAGTTAGATAAATAGTTAATTAGTTTTTTACAATTTTTTATTAATTGCTACATTTTTTAGATGGATCGTCCTAGATATTCGGTTGATATGGGTAACCTCGAGCGCAACCGAACGAACGAGCTTGAGAGGAAGAGATCCCGCAAAGGTAAATCACATCTCGGCTCTTCATCTCAAAGTCAAGATGATTTTGATACGGGTTACGTAAGGAGGGATGGGGATGCGATGACCGACGAACAATTAGAACAAGAATTGCACCGACATAATTCCCGCTTTTTTCAAGACCAACCGAGGACCATTGACGAAGAAGAGCTCGAGGACGAGGACGACGATGTGGAGGAAGCAATTCCGGAGAGCCACGACGACGACGAGGAGGAGGGTGGCGGCAGCCATGACGCCGACCAAGCAGCCTCATCCCAAACAAGTACAAAAAAAAGTAAATCTGAATTAATGGCTAATAATTTTTCTAAGTGGAAGGACCCTAACACCGGGAATTGGACCGCAACTTGCAATTGGTGCAAGAAAAACTATAGCTTGGGGATTTCCGGCGGATACGGATCCGCCACAAGACACCTTAAGTCCAAACACCCGGTGGAGTATGCAAAATTAGGCGGCGGAACGGGGAAACAAACGCAAATATCGAGGTTTGCAAATAACCAACAAGCTTTTGGTAATTTCTCATACAATGATGCACAAAATTTGACAGGTATGGCTAACTTACTTGTTGAAGAAAATTTGCCTTATTTGTTTTCTGAAAGTCTTGCTTTTCGTGATTATGCACAAACTTGTTTAAATCCGCAATATAGAGGTTATAGTCGCAAAACGGTTAAGAAAGAAATTTCAAGGCTTTATGGTGCGGAAAAGGTAAGGTTACAAAATTATTTTGCAAACTTTGATGGACGTGTTACTGTATGTTCTGACATATGGGAGGATACTTATCATAATTTACATTATTTGGGTCTGACTGTACATTATATTGATAATGATTGGCATATGCATAAACGTGTTCTTGCTTTCCGTGAATTTAATGATCGTCACACCGCTGAACATATTTATATTTTGATTGAACGTATTTTAATTGAGTATAATTTAATTGATAAGGTGTTGGCTATTGGTTTTGATAATGCTACTAATAATACTGCTGCTATTCCTAGATTGCGTGAATTGTGTGGTTCTACTTCTTTGATGGGTAGATTTTTTCATCAACGATGTGCATGTCATGTTCTAAATTTATGTGTGCAAGATGGTCTAAAAGCGTTGGGAGCATCGTTGGAGGTAGTCAAGGGGGGGATTAGACGTATTTGGGGTAATGGACACCTTAGGAAAAAATGGCATGATTATTTGATAGAAAGAGGTGAGAGATATGTGGCTTTTCCAAAAGATTTGTCTATTCGTTGGAATAGTACCTATAAGTTAATTGGAGTTCTTCTTAGATATAAACAACATTTTCCTGCTTTTATGAAACAATATGATAACTATATTATAAACTCGGCTGAGATCGACACCTGTGAAAAAATTTGTAATGCTTTGATATATTTTAATAATGCAACTGAAACTTTTAGTCATGTTTATAAACCTACCTCAAACCAATTTATTCGTGAAACTGTTAATCTCGCCGGTGCTTTTTCAAATTTTGAGAATGCTGATTATGTGAATTATTTTGCTGGTTTTATGAAGGAAAAGTTTTTAAAATATTATTCACATATTTCGCATATTTATGGTATTGTATTTGTTCTCGATCCTCGTTTTAGACTTGGTTCTTTAGAAGAATGTTTGAATTATTATTATGCTGCTTTTTTTGGTCCATTGCCAATGTATGAGGACAACCCAATTGATCCGAAAAAAGAATACAACGAGGTTAGTGATATATTTTATGCATTATTCAATGAGTTTCATGCGCAATATGGCAATGCGCCCCCTCCCCCGACACAAACATCATCTAAAGGAAAATCAATTTTCAAATTTACGTTTGCCAATCTTATTAAAAAAACAAAATCAACTCCCACTACACAACAAAGCACAATTAATGAGATTTCTTTGTATTTAACTTATGATGTTGATTTTGAAGAAGATGATAATTTTGACGTACTAAACTGGTGGAAGGGAAAAGAAAGAATGTTCCCGGTTTTAGCAAAGATGGCTAAGCAAGTGCTATCAATGCCGGTTTCAACGGTTGCCGTGGAACAAGAATTTAGTTCGGCCGGCAATGTTCTAACACAAACCAGAACGAGGTTGAGCGCTGAATCTCTTGAGATGCTTATATGCTACCACGATTGGTTGAAAGAAGCACGTAGAGCTCAAGAAATTGACATCACTCCATCACAACACTTTATGGATGAATCTACAGAGGGTGGCTCTACTTATGCCGGAGATTCCGATTAAAAACAATTATAGTTCCTATTTAATTTTCAAATGTAGTTCCTATTTCATTTCAAATAAATGCACTTGAAGTTTGTTTTTTAATACTTGTATAAAACTATAAAGTATAAAATATAAATTTAAAAAAAAAATTACCCGGCCCGACCCGGCCCGGCCCGGCGGGTGGCCCGACCCGTGACCCGGGCGGGTGGCCCGACCCGAACCGGACCCGTCCAACCCTCGGGCCGGTCCCGGGCCCACTATTCTAGAACCGGCGGCCCGACCGGGCCTAGGCCCGGCCCGGGCCCGACCCGGCCCGAATCCACCCGCCGCCGGAGGGTTTTGGCTAAGACCGCAAAAACCCAGAAATATTCGGGCTGATCCAGGTTTTAAGAGCTTTTCGTTCGGCTCATGTAGGGTTGCATCCAGAAAAAAATCTCCATATAAGAGAGTGATTTAGAGTTTCAGATTTCAATCTACAATAAGCCAAATACTCTAAAAATAGCAAAGCAAATTAGTACTCTAAATATAAATTAAAATGCATGAGTGAAGAATAATGGTTATACTAATTTAGAGTTTAGAGACTCAAGAAAAAACTTTTACTTTTCAAAGGGGAATAGGAGACATATATAATATGTTCTATGTATATATTATTTATATATGCTATAGAAAATCATAGACTATAAAATCACAAAAAGAATACTCATGCATACAACACTTACTAGGAACCGGACCGAGCCGGAAATGGATGGAGAAAAGGATTAAGCTGGATGGACCAGAATTTGTTCAAACCTGTTTGATTTTGAATTTCTCTAAAATATAGTGGTGGGATTCAGATGGGTTGGGCTGGGTTTTGGCTAAGACCGTAAAACCCCGGAAATATTCGCGTTTTACATTTTTGGGCCTGATCAAGGACCAATACTTTCGGGCTGATCCGGGTTTTAAGAGCTTTTGGTTCGGGTCAGGTAGGGCTGCATCCAGAAATAATCTCCTGATTTAGAGTTTCAGATTTCAATCTATAAGCCAAATACTCTAAAAATAGCAAAGTAAATTAGTACTCTATAAATATAAATTAAAATGCATGACTGAAGAATAATGGTTACACTAATTTAGAGTTTAGAGACTCAATAAAAAAACTTTTACTTTTCAAAGGGGAGTAGGAGAAAAGTATAATATGTTCTGTGTATATTATTTATATATACTACTCCCTCTATCCCTCTATAATATAATTGTCCAATTTTTTCATTTTTAAATGACCCCCTATTATTGTCACATACCATATTTGGTA